AACCACAGACGACTGAAGGGTGGGACAAAACAAAGCACGCGGCGAAACGTTTTCAAAAAATTGAATTTGAATTCCCAGTTGGCCGGGCAAAAGGGCGATTGGAGGGTGTCAGGCATCCACCGATGATGTACAAAGACGTTACCCAAGGAGTGTGCAGGGAGGCGTGGTTGTGTTTCGCATGTCGATTCCCCCCAGCTGTGCACGGTGTGTGATGTTTTCGAAGGCGGCGAGCACATTCCGGCAACGTCGAAGTCGAGCATGGGCAGAAGGATGTTCTCAAAGGCTCACGAAGGAGTCCACTATAATATAATGCCAGAAATCTCCCAAGGAGTGTGCAGGGAGGCGTGGTTGTGTTTCGCATGTCGATTCCCCCCAGCTGTGCACGGTGTGTGATGTTTTCGAAGGCGGCGAGCACATTCCGGCAACGTCGAAGTCGAGCATGGGCAGAAGCTCGGCAATGGCCGGCAACGTCGAAGTCGAGCACGGGCAGAAGGTCGGCAATGGAGATGGGTGTTGGTGGCGGTGGCCATATGTTGTCTGCTGAGAGCGGCACGCGGTAGTGGCGGTGATGATCTTTGTTCTGGACGCAGAAAGGAAGAGGGTGTCCACATCCCACGGTGTGCGTCTGGGGTTGCGCAAGCGCAGGACTTTGTTGCAGCATGTAGGTGAGGTGCCGGATTGCGCAGCACCATCGGAAGCCCTTGTGCAGCTGTGTGAGGCACTGTCCTGCGGGGTCGTCCAGCGTGCAACCCCGAGATCGTGGATCAAGCGACGAACTGGTGGCACGTGGACTGATCTTCTTGTATGCGATGACACCACACACATATATTTTCAAAGCAGAGGTGGACCAAGGCGTGGACGCGATGATGCTGAGATGGTGGATCCAGCGATGGACTGGCAGCAGCCTGAGACAACAAACAAGAACACGACAACGACGAACAGCAGCAGTGGAATCCTCCGATTGACGTCGGCCATGAATCATGAACATAGATGTGCACATACCACCTGATTGACCACTGCAGGATCCAGCATGCCGACAAGGATGTCCACGAGGACAATGTGGCACCATGATGAGAAGACACAGGCAGGTGTGAGAACGCAGTAGTTTGGATTCCTACCGTTGGCCCTTGTTGTCCTCCCGCAGATCGCCCAAGGTGGCGGTGACACAACGGCCCTTCTTTCCCCCTCCAAGCCTTCCGCACCGAACGGTCGACTAGAGCGTGGCCATGACACTACATGACCTCACCTGCGGGAAACCCCGCCCCAACGGCTACTGGTTCTCGCAGTCGCCATCGTCCCGCAGCTGAAGGCCTGCAATGTCTATGCAGTGGCCCCATGGACAACTTCTGCACCACTGAATGGTGGACATTCATGTGGTGCATGCATCACCGAAGCTCCGCGAAACAAGGACTCCCAAATTTTACAGCTTCTTGCGAGGAGCTCTATTTTTCCAGTCGATTTTGCCTGGGGATTCCAATAATTTTTTAGGAATGCTCCTTATGCTGTTTTCACAATTTTCTTCACAATTTCGTTTTTAGGAAGCTTTTAACCACAATGCATTCCTAAATATGGGCATTTTTAGGTGTCTAACGAGACGCTCAGGCTTGGATCCCACAAGGCACTTTCAACGAAAAATCGGAGACCATGTGTCGTTCATGGCCATCTTCTTTCGAAGGCTGCCGATGCTGCTCCTGGTCATCATTTTGCTTGTCCTTCTCGTCATGTTCCACATCTGCATCCTGGGCAGGCTGCCTGGGCGCACACACAAGAGGTGCTCTACGAAGGACATCATCATGGACAGACGGCAGGCGAAGAACTCCGCAACCCATGGCGCAGCACACCTGAAAGACAGCCTCGCAGATGGCGGCGGTGTCCAACCCTTCCACCCGCATACACTGCATCATCTTCCTCCTCCGCGCACGGATCTGTGCTTTCATTTTCCCCACCGTCCTCTCCACCTAACAACAGAAAAGGATAGCGTTAACCACCCCAGCCACTGCCATCCTTCCGCCATCGTCAGATTTGGACGCTCGTCATTGCCGGCGCCCTCCATCCCCAAGCAGGCTGCAGAAGACATCGGGGTCAGCGACCACCACAGACTCCATCGACGTTCCACCGGACGAGCAAACCGCACCGCTTAATTCGGATGATGATTAGGCAACCAAGAGTCTGTTGCCAGCCTGCACGACGCACTCTGCTACTCTCCGCACAGACGCACCCCGAGGACAACCGCGATGACATCTTCCCATGGGCCATCTTCCTGGACTCGCCGAACGCAGCACTCATGCTGACCCCGCCACTGCGCACTGGAAGGATCTTCCTTTCCGACATCCTCCACAGGCCGCAGCAGCCACAAGCCGATCCGCCTTCACCCGAACAGCGTTATTCGAATTTTGAATTTCAAACCGAGACGTCGGTGCATTTCAATTTTTTTTTTCCAGGCTGGCTGCCAAGATTCAAATTTTCCCGCCTCTCGGAGCTGGACCACGCCCGTCCACACGGACAAGAGCCCATGGACCAGTTATCCCCCCCCCCCCCCCCTTTCCTCGCGGTCGACAATAATTTTATGTGATCGGCCGAGGGCCCGGCATAGGAATTCTCCTTGGGCGGCCCCCCCACGGATGAGTGGAACAACGGAAGAAATTCTCTCAGGTGACCCTAAGGAAAAATCCTTAGGCCCCTAGGACGACCTGACGAGTGTTTAACAAGCCCCTTATTCCCCCCAACCACACACACACAAACCCTCCCTCCGCTTGCCTGCCCACACTTACACTTTCGGGGCGTGCGCAAGTCCAATGATGTAATTCTGCCTTTATGACTTGCTGGGGGAATAGGAACCGGACTGACGCTCCACAGAGTGGATATGGAGCCAGGACCATAAGGACCTGTTTTATAAAAAAACAAACAAACTATGCATTCGCTCATAAACCGGCACCAAGCAGAATCCTCTGGTCCCTAGGCCCACTCCCAAATAGAGTCCATCTCACCCTCTTTCATCCCTGCAGTGTTGTTCACCCAGCTGCTCATGCCACTCCTTCCCCTCTTTTTCTTTCCCGGTTCCCGACATTCTCCCCTCTTCTCCCTTGTCCTTTACCCCCTCTCCTCCCCAACCTATCAACAGTCGAGTGAACATTCCGAGTGTTTCACTCCACAGACTGAGACCCAACAGCTTCATATCCGGTCCAGTCTTGTCGAGTCAGGAAACTGCTCAGTATATATGTCCAGTCAATGGTCTATATCGCAATAAATGACAGATATGACCAGCACGAGCATAACGGTGTCAACCCCCAAAATGTGGTCGTAGTACATGTGCCAGCCAGGGCGGTTCGTCATGAATGCATTGGTCCTCGAGCGGCAGGAGGGTGGATCCTACCAAGTCCCAGCACATGTAGGGCTGCACTTGGGGCAAGCACTGCAGTTCAGGTCAGCTTATCCTGGGAGGCCAGAGACTGGCAGCAGGCTGGACAAACTTTGAGAGAGGAATACGAGTTGTACATACTATTTGTACTTCCCAAATATGTGGCCGTATATGTGCGAGCAAGGGCGGTTTGTCATGAATGAATTGGTCCTCAAGCAGCAGGACGGTTGATCCTACCGCGTCCCAGCACATGTACGGCCACACTTTGGGGAAGCACTGTGGTTTCAGTAAGCTTGTACTGTGAGTCCAAAGATCGCCAGCAGGGAGGACAAACTTTGAGAGACTCGGAGACTTGTACGATACTACTTGTACATAGAGCAGTTGGCTTCGTTCTCCGTACCAGTTGACTCCTTGCAGTTACAGACAGATCGATAGTACAATACATCACATGTCGTGAAATGGAGAAAAAGAACATGAGCACCAACAACAGCAGAAGCGAAGAACAGCACAGGACTGCACGCGTACACCAGCGAACGACATGAAATGGAGAAGAAGAACATGAGCACCAAAAATAGCAGAAGAGAAAAAACAGCATAGGACTGCATGCAGACACCGGCAAACGACGACTGACAAAAATGACCCTGACAGAAAGAGCTCGGGTGAGACGAAACAACCATGTGAAGAACAGCAACGAGGTTCAGTCAGGGGAAAAGAGGGGGAAAAAGAATAGCCAAGAGCTGAAGACATGTGATAGGGTGTCGCTCCACTGCACAACATTCTAAATGCATCTTGAGCTGGGACTGGTCGCAATACATTCAAAATGCACCTGGCCACTGAAAAAAAAAGGTCAAGATACGTGTCGAATGTTGAGCAGTGCGAGAGAGGCACCTAATCCAGGTCCATTCACGTGGAAAATGGAATGCGATCGACACAGAGAAACGGAGTAATGAAAAAATAGACAATGGCAAAGAAAGGGAGGGAGCAGACAAACTGACCTAGCTCAGTTGGTACACCCATGAACTGTTGAAATGCAGACCCAAGTTCGAATACAGATGCAATCAGTTGAGCAGAAACAAGGAAGGAGTACGAATGAGGCACAGAGAGATAGAGAGATAGATAGATAGAGAGAGATAGATAGATAGATAGATAGATAGATAGATAGATAGATAGATAGATAGATAGAGAGAGAGAGAGAGAGAGAGAGAGAGAGAGAGAGAGAGAGAGAGAGAGAGAGAGAGAGAGAGAGAGAGAGGCGAAGAAAAAAGACAAGTGCAGCACAGGAAAAGCGCAACCAGAAGGAAAGACACCCATACAGAGATGGGAGGAATGAGGAGAACAAACACAGCGAGCAAGCCTGGAAGTAGAAGAAGAAAAAGACGGCAAGCAAATACACACGTGCGAGTGGCACATCAAATCACTTTTGCAGCTGTACTCCCACAGCTCACATTCAAAAGCCGAGATCGACTGGACCAGGTGGGCAAGCAGTGGCGTTAAGGGGGCGAAAAGTTGCCGAAAACAGGATAATATCGTCTATCATCTATTATATAGGTCGGGTTTGCAAAAGATTAGACGAGTCTTCTGACTCAGTTGCAAGCCTGACAGACCCAAGAGGTGGTCCCCTCTTGAGGGAAAAAAACAAACAAACCATTTCGGCATTTTATTAAAGCTTAAGAAATTGAATAAAATGAAGACAGCCACTTGCAGCGCAGGCTATATACCTCATGAACCGCTGAGATCAGCCCTCGGCCAGTTCATGTCCGTTACAACCAAAATTGGAAGGGCACCGCGCTTAACCAGAAGCCACCCATGCTCCAAAGGGACCAAAGCTGTGAAAAAGACGAGGGGTCTGGGGGAGTGGGTGGTTTTTCTGGAAACAGGGTGCGCATGCATGCATGTAGTAGTGGACTCATGTCCCTTATTCCTTCTGCCTACCCTCAGTATTTCCTTCCTTCCTTCCTTCCTTCCTTCCATGTAATGCAGAATATCCGTGGCCCACAAAGAACCAAAGTACAACAAGTCCATCCGATCACGGCAATAACGTACACCCCCAATTGAATTTGAATTCCTGGACATAATTTGCTGACTAGCAGTCGACCCCCTAAAACCTTGCAGAACCCGATGACGAGGTCTGCACAACTGGGCCCCATTCCCAGAGTCCCAGACCGGGACCAGGTAATTTGCCCGTACCAGGCAGGGCAATCTGCACAACACCCACCACGTAAGTTCAGCTGCTAGCTGTACCAATGCGGGGTAGGCTAGAATTCCCTGCAGGGGGAGCAATTTTTCATGGTTCCAAACGATTGCGGGTCCAGCTTTGACGAACCATATGAATGCAAATTTCCAGGCAACAAAAAAGATAACGAAGAACGGAGGAAAAAAAAAAAAAAAAAAAAAAAAAAAAAAAAAAACCATCAATAAGAGGAATCACAGGGCGCCTTTCACAGAGTAAGCCATGAGAAGTAATTTCTTCCTCCTCAATATAATCGTCCAGTTCGTCCTACCTACCTACTATCCCGAAGAATATTTGCGATTTTCGACAAATGGCTCTCCTCTTCGCGGATTCAAGGGCTCAATTTGTGGACATCCGCATCATAATGGGCTGTTTATTTGAACAAATAAACCGCCTGCACGTCTGCCACCACTTGTGTACATTTTTTTTCTCCAAGGGATGACAGAGACACAGATTTGGCGAGAAACATCTACACAAACGAATGAACTAAGACCACCATCTCCTAACGTCAGTCGGCGGACAAGCCGATCAGGCAAACTGCCCACTTCCAACTGCACACCCTCGGAACAAGGGATTAACGCTTTCCACCCATCTCTCACACGAATCCATGGCCACTACGCCTCTCTCGGAGACATATGAACCTTTATGGCAACCGAGCTGAAGCATCGGTCTGTTCATCTTCATCTTCATTCTTGACCTACACACCGACTCTTCCAAGTGCACGCCAAGCTGCTGTCGGCACAGTGGGATGGGGAAGAAAACGGCATCCCGCCCCCAGGGAAAATTGTGCAGTGCCACTGTACAGACAACGAAACCAGGAAATGATGTGGTCCCTGGCATCAGGAGGAGAAGATGAAAAAACAGCCATGCCACCGTGCCCCCTTTACAGATGATACATGCGATTACATGCGCATCGATGGGATGAGCATTAAGCAAAGCATCCCAGCTGCAGCAAGCCTACCTGAGAAGTCAAGCCGATGCTGGAATAGGAGTGGGAGAGAGTTGCTTGGATGGAGATGAGGACGAACGTTTGATGTTATTTCCGGGGCCAGCACTCGAAACACCTGTCACATCCCGGCCATCCTCGTGCAGTCCGGTGCTTTGACTCTGAGGTGGTGTACCAGGCTGCACCGGGAAACTCGCAGTCACATTCCAGGCTGGAGCAGCTTCTCTACCAAGACCCACCATACCTGCTGCATTATGGACGAATGCCTGAGATTGCGATACTCGAGTTGCACTTGAAGGCCTGCTTCCAGGGTTACTTCCCATTGCGCGTGAAACATCCGCCACGGATGAAGTTTGCACTCCGGCAGCAGGGGGGCTGTTCCCGGTGGTGAATCCACCACTCGCACCGCCGTGCGGAACTTTGTCTATGCCAACACCTGCATTCGGAGTCTCGACCACAACTACTTTCCTCTTTTTTCGCACGGGCAGCAAAGAGATCTTCTTCTTCTTTATTGCAGGTTTGTCAGATTCAACAAAACTGGGCCCGACATCGCAAGTCCCTCTACTTGGTGCTGCACATCCTGATGCCAGAATTCCGGCGCCTCCGGGAACGTCACTCCTCACCTCTCGCTGCCATGCGCCACCTCCACTCCCACTCCCACTTGCACCTTCTGCTTCTTCAAGATGAAACGATCTGGTGAACGTATCTCCACCAGGTGTGGTCTCCCTGAATCCCACCGTCTCTCTGCTAGTACCCACGTCTCCCTCAGCTTCCATCCATTCACTGCTTCCTCCTCCTCCTAGTACTACTACTGCTCCTCCCGATCCTCCACCACCTCCTCCTCCTCCCTGGAAAGCCTTCCGCCGTTTTGCCTGCCCAGACTTGGAGTCGTCGCTGCCTTTCTTATGACTCTTCCCAGCACCTGATAGAAGTCTCTCCTGCTGATGACGAAGGTTTACCCGCTGAATGGCCTCCTTTATACCCTTGTTGTCCATCCACCCAGTTGGCCACATTGCACTCAACTGAGCCACCACACAGATACGAACACAGTTCAACACACACACCGCAAACCAAAAAACTGGCAGTATCAGCATTGACGCACTCACAATGCAGGTTTATGTGGAAGGTTGCTGTGCTACCACAAAGTGAATGGGAGGTGAATGGAAGGTCCAGACCCAGAAGACTCAGTCTTGTCAGTACCTCCCTCACTGCACTCCCCAAATGCTCATCAGAGCCCATGACTTGTACATTGTGTGAAGTGCACTTCCATTCAAGAATGTACACACATTTGGAGATAGATGTGTGGACGAGTTTGTGGCTTTCTGATCATTCATGTATTCATGTTACCTTATGGCCACCACCACATAGGGTGGCTATGGTACCTCATGGCCTGTTCACATGACACACTGGAAGCCATCAAAAGGTATGGCTCCTTATACACCATGCCATTGTGGCACTGGAAGAGATGTAAGAAAGGGGGCGGAAGGGATTGTTGGCTTCTATGCCCTTGGCTTTCAGCCCCTCTTGACTGGTACACTAAGTCTGCTTTCCTCCATCTCTTCTCCCCTCCTCCTACTCCTCCTAATCCTTCAGCTGGTTATCCTCCTCACCGCATTACGCCTCTTTGTGATCCTTCTGCTGCATCGTCAACATACTCTCCTTCATCCAATGGCATGGCGTCAACTGGAGACTGATACACAATCTCCCTTTCTCCAACCCTCTTCCCTCCTCCTCCTCCTCCTCCTCCCCCCCTCCTCCACCCATCCCTTCCCTCTGCATCCTTGTCATCCTCCTGCCGGTCCTTGGCATACTCTCTTCCTTCCAGTGTTCTGGAGTCCCATTACCCTCTGACAACCGTCTTGCCACGAACACAACACACACTGATCATGAACGTACTCGAGCTATCTTTCTAGTTCGATACGGTCATGATCGGGATGCCTTGCGTTCGGGAAAAGGTGGTGGTAATCTGCCACTCATCCCCTAACCTCCTCCTCACCCTCCGCCTTCCCTTCTCCAAGTGATAATGCTCCCAGTGATCCTGCTATTCTACTGGGGCTTCATGTGGCCCCCAAGTGCTCCTGCTGCTGCCCTTCTTCCTCATCCATAGCACTGCTTTCCTTCTCTCCCTCTCAATGGGTGTCCTGCTGCAGCCGGTGGGTGGCTCATATCCCCTTCCCGAACCCCCACCTCGTATATCAGCTACGTCTCATTCCGTAATCTTCCCAAGGCAGGTGTACCCCCCATTATCTGGAGGCTACCTGGCTTGGACGGGTGCTTCCCGCCAGTCCTCTCCCCCTCACTGATGTCCAGCTGCGGCCGGTGGCTCTCATCCCCTGCTTGGCCTCCCACCTCGTTATTCCCTATCGTGGGTCTAGTATATCAGAAACATCGCATTCCACACTCTTCCCAAGGCAGAAGGTGCACCCCCTGTTATCTGGCAGCCACGTGGCTTGTGATGGCTGCTTACCGCCAGTCCATTCACAACATATGAATGCATCATGTTGTTGCTACCGTCTTCCAGCCGATTAGAGCGCCTAGTCATTATTGCTGCACCTGGACTGAAAGTTGCTCAAAATATGGCGATAATGATCGGGTGCTCTATTTGGGCGAAGACAGTAGGAGCACAATCCACGATATCGAACGCTGCAAAACAGTTCAGTTGTTAGTGACAGCGAAAAGGCATACAAAAATGCGTCAAGGACTTCGTCATTGTAGCAATCACTACTTGTCTGACTGATTGCAACGATAAGGAGGCATGAACATCAGAGATGTCGAGTCTCTACAATCTGCCGTTGCCTCTAAATACCTGTGTCTCTCTAAGCATCTAGGGTTTCTGAGTCTCCCTAAGCAATTGCCTCTATGTCTCTCTATCTCTAAGTCATTGGTTTTGCCTCTGGGTGTCAACTTCTTACTGACCTCTTTGTACAGTTTCCTCAGCCTTGATCCCTTGTGCTCGTCCATATCCTGCACAAGCCATCCACAACGACAAGAACGCATGTCTGTGTCAGAAAAGAGAGAGAGAACGAGAGCGAAAGAGAGAGAGAGAGAGAGAGAGAGAGAGAGAGAGAGAGAGAGAGAGAGAGAGAGAGAGAGAGAGAGAGAGAGAGAGAGA